AGTCAACCTTGAGCCATTCAGGATCGAACTCCAGACTGTGGGCAGAGTTTGCCTGCAATACTAAATTCTAACCATTGCTCTTTGATTCAGAGTATGCAGATTTATTGTAATGATAAAGAGGTTGGACCACAGAATTGTGACACAGGCTATGCGGCCCGCATTGTATTTATTTATTTCTTCAAAATTTATAGCTGCCCTACATGACATGCAACTTATTTGACCGGCTCAAGGTTCACTCCGCCTTCCATCCTTCTGAGGTCAGTAAAATGAGGACCCAAATTGTTGGAGGCAATACACTGATTCTGCAAACCACTTAGAGAGCACTGTAAAGCAGTATATAAGTCCAAGTGCCATTGCCATTGCTATTATTTCAAAGCAGGACCCTTGATGATGCAAGTGGAAATGTCCATTTTTAGATTCTCTACCTTACCTGTAAGGATTTTTAAGCTCTTCTGTGATATAATTAAGTTGATTCCTGGAAGAAAAGAAATATCAATAGTTACTCTGTCCAAACTGCAATCCTAGGTATGCAAATTTAGAAGGAAACGTCTACTGAATCTGATGGGAGTTAATAAACTACATCAGACTATAAAGTTAAGTAATTATAATCATCATCATCATCATCAACTGGAGCACCACTTGAACACCATTGGCATTCACAAATTTGCCATTAGTCAATTGCAAAAGGCGGCCTTACTCACTTAACAACATCTGTGTCCAAAAAAAGGTCATAAAATCAGGTGCGGTCAAGTGATGCCCCACTTAATGACTGCTTTATTTAATGACAAATTTTCTGGTCGTAAGTTGAGGACTTATGTGGCCCACCACATGCGGCTGAACTGCAACTCCTAATATTTCACCTCACTGATCTTGGGACACAGAATTGTGGTTTAGCAACAATGCAAAGAGGACTAGTCCTCTGTCCCTGCCTTCAAGACCAAAAGGTCCTCCTTGCTCATCTTCCAAAGCTTTTTTTTTTAGAAGCCGTCTAAAATAGCAGCCATTCCAGCTGAAGTTTGAGATTCTGTAGTTACTTGTGGTCAAGTCTGGCTAAAGGAGAAGGGAGTTTCAGCTTTACTGTTCATCTCTGCGAAACATCAAAACACGTAACATGAGTTCAACTGCTAAAACATATAAGGAACGGTTGCTGGAATTGGGTATGTCTAGTTTAACAAAGAGAAGGACGAGGGGGACACGATAGCAGTGTTTCAATATCTCAGGGGCTGCCCCAAAGAAGAGGGAGTCAAGCTATTCTCCAAGGCGCCTGAAGGCAGGACAAGAAGCAACGGGTGGAAACTAATCAAGGAGAGAAGCAACCTAGAACTAAGGAGAAACTTCCTGACAGTGAGAACAATTAACCAGTGGAACAACCTGCCTCCAGAAGCGGTGAATGCTCCAACACTGGAAG